TAAGGGTCAGTAGTGGGGATGTACTGAGTGACGGAAGCAAAGAAAGAATCAAGCTAGGTTACACTCCAAATTTACTAAAGCCCTCCTTAATTAAGGTCTTCTAACTCCAAGTCCGGAGACTCTTTCGTTTTTTCTTTTCTGGAAATATCCTTACGTATTCTTTCATTTTTCTCAGTAAATGTTGGCATTTTCAAACACAAAAACACTAAATTATTGTCATTAAAGTTCAAAAATAAGAAAAGATTACTTCTCTAATGGCACAAGCATGATCTTCTTCATCCTTGCTCTTTTTTCCACGAGGAAAACTCCAGCTTGACCCTTTCCATCCCTTCACCAGTAAGCACTGTTTGGTTGCAGAAACAAAAGGAAGCACAAAAAAAGTATTACTATAACCAAATCAATCACAGTATTAAGGGAAAAAAAAATAAAAAATAAAACCCTTTTTCAATCCAACACTTACCCTCTCAAAGGTTTCATCCAAAATAATTCCCCCAGTGACAGGAACTCGAAGCTTATAGGAAGTGAAGTCCTTAAATATGTCATCTATGTGGGGCACATATGGTTTCAAAACGTCGCAACTGTTAAATACTACAGAAAATTAAGGAAGACAACGATATATACAGGAAAAACAGTAAAAGCATTTTGCGCTCTTTCTTTAAGATACTTTCAGCGTTAAAGCCGACAGAGATGCCATAAACTACGCTAAACTTAGGATACGCAACGAAGTGAACTCCTTCAAGTTGAAGGACTTCAGTGAAGGGTTATTCTCTACCGAGTTGTCCTCATAGAACCAATGTGCATATTCAACTAGAAACAGAATCCTCTCAAATGATTGTAGATCTTCCCTTGGCACATTTAAAACAAATCGGCTGCATAATCAACAAGAGAATGACAGATCTTAGAGCTAAACACTTGTTTATTCCAACCAATAATGCAGTTAAAAAAAAAAAACAATTAAGGTGTTGATAAGCACTTGTTTTAGGGTTTATGAAAATTAAGTTCATAAAAACTAGTTCTACCACGACGAACAACATTTGTTCAGTAGCCTCAAGCTCAAAAAACTACTTATATCTATGAATTTCTCTGTTTTGATAAATGTTTGTCAAAACTAGACCTAAATTATTGGTTCAATTGGTTTAATGAACACAGGCCGCCAAAATAGGTTCAAGGACAATCACTTTTAGAGGAATTATTATCACTCGCTTTAGAAAATGGCAACCAGTTGACGGATGAAAAATAATGACAATCAAAGTAAACTACCTCGCATTAATTTCAACTAAGAACCCTAAAATCTCCACATCTAACAAACCAATAACTCGCAGCAAAACCAGTAAAACAAATAGAGAGAAATACAACAAAGCGTGAGTACCTGCAAAGATCATCAAGGAGCTCCTGGGGAGGAAGACCGTTCTTCACCGACGCATTAGCGGGCTGATGAATACCGGCCATGGCTTCTTAGTGGATTTTGATTAAGAATCTGCCGCTCACACTCTGCTCGTCCTTTACCTAAAGAACTGAGAGAACTGAGCCGACACGTCGTCAGTTTCTGCGTTGCCTTTCGACCTTTTGCGTAGTGGCCGACGAGTCGGATCGAATAATTGTTCGGCCCATTTTGTTGCCAGTGGGCCGGACGGAATATTGGTTTAGAAATTAAGCAAATAAATTACAGAATTACATTTTTGCCCTTTCCTTTTTCACTTTACGATTAATAATAAATTATTATATTTTTTTGGGAATATTTATCGATTTATACTCTTAAAAAAAATAATTTAATTTAATTAAATACATTATAAAAAAACATTTATTTTCCAAAAATAAATAAATAAATAAAATCATATTAGTTGGGCAGCGGGTAGGCAGGACTTAGATGCATGTGCAGTGTTGCAACTGTTGCGTGTGACTAAAGACTTTAGCCCTATAGACATGAGACCCTTTTTCCATAAATTTTTATTTTATTTTAAAATATTTTTTTATGTTAATTTTATGTTTTTTTAAGTTATAATTAAATGTAAAGTAAGGTCTGATTTGTAATTATCTGTTATTTTCATTAATTAAATATATAGTTTTGTATATAATATGATGAATATTAAATTGATGTCACACCTTGTTTTAATTTTAATTTTTTTTCACTCAAGTGACCAAATTAAAGGTTGAGAAATGAGGTGAGGTTGGTTGTGTTGGACTTTTGGGTTAATGCCACCTAACTAATCATTTTTAACAATCTTTAATGTCTTTTTCTAATTGTAATTATCCAACAAATCTTACAATTTTGTCTTTTGTGTTTGAGGAAACATCTTTTCATGTTAATAAAAAAAAAATCTCACCATCCTTTCAATTAAAGTAACGTCAATCATTGATTTTGTTCTTCTTACCTCTTTTAAATTTTGAATTTGAATTTCGTAATCAATAAGAAATTTTGTAAATTTAAATAAATAAAAAATTCCAAAACCTTCAGATCACTACTAGCAGATATTATCTACTCTAAGTTGTTAGCATCATGGTTATGGTTTTACTATGCTTTAGGGAAGGTTTCCATGCCCTTAAAAGAAATGTTTCTTTTCCTTCTCCCATCACTAGTGTTGAGATTTATGTCCTAAAGCCTCGTAATTAATTATCTAGTTTTTAACGTTAATTTTTATTTTTTTATTTGTAATTTAATTGTTATCCATGGTATGAAAATCCAAAGTTATTAATGTAATTTTGAACCGTATGTAGTTGACATATAAGAGGATCGTGTTCAAGTAATAACCTAAAGATTCTATAGTATATGGATAAGGTTGGGTGACTTATCCTAGTAATACTATTGATACAACCCACTCTCTAATTGTTACAAATGATTTGATCCAAATTGTTCATGCAGAGACATATAAGTGGAGGTATCTTATACAATGAGTTTGTATAAAACTAGACCAATAAATATTTTAATCTCTCTTTATAAATCCGTTAATTGAGAATATTAATATTTCACATGATGATCATATGCGGCTCGATTTTAATCATGAGTGAGTTATGAACTCCTGTCTGTGATGGCTTGTCCTTTAATTTACATGGGTGAGAATGACGATTCAATATGTCTACCATTGTGGGGACTTGACCAAATAGGGAGGGACTTGTTCTCTGAGTACTGATTTCGAGACTTAAAAAATGGGCCCCACCCTCTCATTGGGCTGAGAGGGACTTGTTTATGATTGGATCATAAACAAATTGTTCATTAGACAATCAAGAAATATGTAATAACAGGGGTAAAACGGACTTTTGACACAACTGTAATTATGAACAACCCGTGAAGGATCGACTCGCTTGTAATGATTATATCAATGGATATAACTTGTCCTACAGTGCATAAAAGTGCAACTTTAGGTCTATAGTGGAGTGACGTAAAGTTCATGAATGAAAATTTATTAATTAAAGTGTTTAATTAATTAATTTTGTATCATTGAAACTTATAATCGGTAGGTTCTAGCTCATAGTAACACTAAAAAGTACAATTTATTTGAAAGAAAATTTGAAGGTTCCAATGGATATGTAATATATTTAATATATTAAATACAAAGAAGAAAATAATATAATTTAAAATGTCAAATTAATATTTAATATATTAGATATATTAAATAAATAGATAAAATATATTTAATTTGAAGGTTCAAATTAAATCTAATATATTAGATATATTAAATATATTAATTTTAAATTTTAAATTAATATATAATATATTAAATATTAAAAAAAATATATTAATTTTAAATCTCAAATTAATATTTTAAATATTAGATATATTAAATAAATAGATAAAATATATTTAATTTGAAGATTCAAATTAATATCTAATATATTATATATATTAAATATAAATAGAAAAAATATATTAATTTAAAATATCAAATTAATATTTAATATATTAGATATATTAAATAAATAGATAAAATATATTTAATTTGAAGGTCTAATATATTAGATATATTAAATGTAAATAGAAAAAAATATATATTTTTGAAATTTGAATGAGATTCAAATTAATTAAATATATATTAGAAAATTATGATTTTTAGAAAAGATAATATCTTAATATATTAAAAATGTAAATATATTATTTGACAAATATTATCCAAGAGTCCCTCTAAATAGAACTTTCGCTTTCAGCCAAGGATACATCAATCTCTCTTAGTTTCTCTGAAGAATGAAATTAATCTCTAGAGATTTCTCGAAACTCTCATTTCCAATCCCTTTGGGATTGTCTTTCAAGAGGCTCTCATAAGCCTTGACCTTGTGTTCGAGAAGGAAGATCTTGTGGAATGTTGAAGAACTTTTGCATGGATGGAATACTCCGAGGAGTCTTGCAAGCTAGGGTTTCTACAAAGGTAGAGTTCTTACTCTTCTATTTATTGTCTTTCTTTTAATTCACAATAAAATCAAAACGGTTCCTAATACTTCCATTACGTGGATGAAGAGTTCATTCCCTTTACGTGGAATCTCACAATCCACCTCTTTTGGAGGCCCAACGTTCTCGTTGGTACATCGCTCACTGTCTAGCTCTAATACCATTTGAAACAACCCAAGCCTACCGTTAGGAGATATTATACGCTTTAGACCATTGCACATCGCCGTCAACCTACACTTTTATTACAAATTATATAATTCAAAGTAATAGTGATTATGAGCGTTGAATTTGGTAGAGTTGGTCGGATTAGGACAAGCTTCCAAATTGCTTAAAGCAGCCCCTCATTTGTATCATTGCAATTACTTAACTCAAACCTGACGCAAAGGCTACCAAATTAAATTCATCAATCCTCACCATAAATTATGGAGAGATTGAAGGAAAGTCCTTTTTATTGTTATTATTTCTCAATAACTTTTTAATTTTTTTTTTGGTCAAAATTGCTTTACGGGTCTTCAAAGCAATGAAAATTAAAGAAGACCCGTCTAACATTTTAAAATTTAAAGACTTATTAGAGCCCGACCCTACTGAATGCTTCTCGAGTAGTGAACGTTAGGACGGAGAAGAGGCAAAATGACCTGAAATTTCATTACTTGAAAAGCTCAGAAATCTGACTACAAATGAACTGCAAAAAGAATTACCAAGAAATTGGAAAAGAATGCAAAATAGAAAGAAGAGAGACAGCATAAGACAAACTAAACAAACACTACTTAGACTGAAACCTAAACTTAAAACTTTTGTTTCTCCTCTTTCTCTACTTTGTCATCTAATGAGTTCCTAAGCGTTCCCTCTGTACACAAAGACAACCAACCACCTAAAATAAACATGAAAGAACCACACAGCTCAGCAGCACTAGATCGGATTCGACGTTTCCTTTGTCTTCTCACATATAATCCATTGCAATTGCGCTATTCGTGTTCGGAATGAGCTCGGGTTGCACGCTTATGGTGATTGCATTTGTATTCTCGTCGACCTTGTTTCTCATTTCGAGCACCTTCTTATGGGAATTTGAGTGCAGGGATGGGATGAAAGTTGGACTTGCTGCTGGTCGATATTCAGGGAAGAGTCTACCGGATTTATACCGAACACCGCAAGCGTTACAAAGAGTTTTTGGTCCCATTGGTCCTGCTCTCCATTGTGGTGTCTTGGTTATCTCACAATGCATACATTTTCGTACTGATGATGGCGAGCTTTGGTTCCCCGTCGCTGCGTCCAATGGAGCGAGCGAAAAGGACAATTTGATTTTCTTGTTTTTGGTATTCTGTATTCCCGACGCACTGCCATGCTTCGGCATTTTGATCAAAGGCTGGGACTCGGCGAAGTTATCGGCATCGGACGGGGCTTTCGGGGCAAGCTGCAATGGTTGATCAGGAGTGGCTGTTTCGGTGACGGATGAGGCAGGGGAAATGAGCTGAATTGGTGGCCGGGGACTGAAGGTTGCAGGGCGAGGCCGCTTGCTACGAGCACGGCCACGCTGCTGACTCGGGGTGGCGACGGTCTGTTCGGGGCTGCTGCGAGACGGCAGGCTCTTGTCACTAGAGCAAGAGCTACTGCTTTCAAGCACAGAAACTGGGCTAGAGGTTTGGAATTGGTTATAAGTCAAGTCCTTGGGCTCTTCTTTGTTCATTGAAAGGCTTCCCCCACGGAATGAATCCTCCACAAAATTTGATAGCCACTCAAGTTGAACAATATCTTCATACTGTAATTAAACCAAATAATTAATTGTAATAATATTTATTATTTTTCGCAATTTAAAAATAATAATTTTCAGATAAATTATTTTTAATTATAAGCGACGGATCCCAAGAAGACTCTGTGAAATGACCAAAATACCCTCAACTGTGCGGGATTTAAAATTTGAAATAATAGAAAAATCAAATTTAAATGAATTTCAATGTGTATTGGCGCTACAATCGAACAAGAAAATTTAATATCAATTGACACGTCATTTAATGAATGTATTATTTTATTTTATAATAAAATTGTACTAAAAAAAATTTCCTACAATCAAGGGTATAATGACAAGGCACCACCATAACATGCCCCCCACGTGGCCTGCCAGGTGGACAGCCCAATCAATTAAAACATAATTTTGTCGATTTCTACACTTAATTATATCCTATGACGACATCATCTAAAACAATGTCAAAATTCACCTAATTTAACCCAGTCTTCAAAAAAAAAAAAAAAAAAATGACGCCTCGTTGTCAATTTTATTTGGAATTTTTAAAATTTTTATAATTATTTTTGGAAAAAATGATGCAATTATTCCAATTCATAACATATTAAAAGAATGTTAATTTTTTAATTAAAATTCTATATTTAAAATAATTTTTTATTGGGGCGACCCGGTCGACTCGGGGGCCGGTTCAAGAGAGGAACGATAAAAACACCCGCGGGTAAATAAAAATGAAACACTAACCGGAACAGAGAGCTGGGCCGACAAATCGGCGTTGTCATTAGCGGAGAAGACCGAGACAGAACCAGGTAGTGACTCGGAGTGAGTCGGCCAAATGGTTGGGAATGAGTTAGCCGAGTCGCCGCGATTCACCGGCGGCAAGCCAACGTCGACATCCTCCACCGGAAAATCAAGGAGGTCGTCGATATGGTCGAAGAAACTGCCGCAATCTATCTCGTCGACTAAGCTATTTCCGATCATTCTGCCGTTTTTTCTGTCCATACAAAGAAAGAAACAAAGAAATGTAAGAAGCTGATGAAGGGCTGTGTTTATTAAACCAAACTCCAAATTCTTTAAAGAAATGAGAACAAACCTTGAATTTGTGAAGCAAGAGAGAAGGGAAAATGGGGGAAATCTGAGGCTAAAGAACCTGCAAAAGAAACAAAGGGGTTGAAGAAGAGAGCTCTGTTTGGATTTATAATGGCGTTAGAAAGTATAAACAAAATTGGGGTTACTGTAATTACTTTTATCGGTTGAAAAACTGGGAAAACACCCAAAAAAAATTAAAAAATAAAAAAAACAAGAATTTAAAACTGCTGTTCTTCTGAATTTTCTCCACATTCCAAGTCATCTCAAGAAAACGCTTATTTTTCATTAAATTTTGCCCATAAAGCCTTGAAAAAAGAGGCAAATTTGAATGCCGAAAAGCTCAAGAACTTAGAACGAGGTATTAAAAATGGAGGAAAACCCACCTGAAAACAGGGCTAACAGGTTGAAATGGAGGCCATTAGAGAGAGAGAGGAGAAATGGGGTTGAGTTTATGTATGGATGAAAGAGAAGCTAAAAAGGAAAAGGAAATGAAATGAAATGAAAGAGAAGAGATGTGGGTGTGACGGTAGGTGAGGCTCCTCCTTCATTGCTAGCTGTCCTTTCCCGTTTTATCCTTTAGCTCACACACCCTCCTCCTCCTCTTCTTCTTCCTCTCTCTCTTCTCTGTCTTGATGTTGAAGTCTTCTCTTTCTCTCTCCTCTAATTACTCTGTGGGTCCCACTCCATTTCATCCTTACTTCAATTCGAGCATAGTTCAGTTTAAAAATAAATTTTGGATACTTGTCGAGTTCATTGTCCATCTAAGTACAGTTAAAGATTCAAACCCGTTCATAAATGTGTATTAAGTTACATTTATTTATTTATTTTATAATAGTTCGAAATAAATGATTATCAAATGCGATTTTTAACTATTCTTTGACTGATTGGAAGAGAATAAAAGGTACTTCAAGCATAGATTCACCATTTTCATCTCGAAAAAATGTAAAGTCTAGAGATTCATTTATAAGGTATCGTAGCTCAAGAAGCTTGTGTTAGAACAAGTTTAGAAAGTTTGAAATTTATAAAAGGTAAAGTATCTCACTTTTACCCTTTAAATTTTGTTCTTATTTTTTTATTTGGTATTTGAAGGTGACATGTTCCAGATACAATTGATTTTTAATTGTCTTTAAATTTTGATTTTAGTTTCTAATTTATCGTGGAATATAATTTTTTAAAAAAGTAAAACCCAATATCAACGAGTATTTAAAATACTAATAAAATAAAATTTATTTTATTTAAAATACAATTAAAATTCGATACTCTCACCTCAATAATAACATCAATTTATAAATACTAAAAAAAAGTTAATTAATTAACTCACTTTACAAATAATTATTGTTTTTTAATGTAAATCAGTTAAAATGAGAAATGTCGGTGCATGGTTGTTTCAATATTTTATTTTATTAATTTATAATCATGTGACATGTTTTTAATGGTTCGTACATCACATTTACCTATAGTACGCTTAAAGCTAAGATTTCTTTTTAATTAGTTTAATTATTACTATTTTTCCAATTATTATTCCAGCCTATTATTACATAACTTCATATTTACTTTATACATAAAAACAAAATTACACAAATAAACCCGACAAATTACTAGATAAGTATCGAGTATATTTCAGATAATTTTATCTTAAAGTATATTATTTAAAATTATATTTACCTAAAATTAATTTAAAATTTTGAGATTTTAGCTATCGAATACGTGGTTGAATTAATTAACGTAAAAATATAAAATTTAAATTTATAATTTAAAATAAATATTAAATAAGATGTGTTTTCTTGTTGGCACTCAATCATCAAACGCTTTTTGGTTGATTTTGAAAACAAAGGAAAAGGGTTTTGTTTGTTTAGAAATAGGAAAAAAAAAGTTAATCTGGACAAATAAGAAAATGAGTTAGATGAGATTTTTATTACCATATTAATAATTTTATTATTTTTTTAATATAATTTGGGAGGGTTAATAAAATTGACGGCACAACCAATATTTTATTTTATTTTATTAAAAAAAAAAGTATTTGGGCCTCTTTGAAATGATGGGCTTTTTCTCTCTCTCTCTCATGACTTAATAAATACTTTTTTATTTTTATTTTATTTTTTTATTTTTTTATTTCATCGCCCATCAATAATTATTCCTTCTATGTCACTCTCTCTCTCTTACCCCATAAATTTTGTAACCTCTAAGGAACCTTTGTTTTAATTTCTTCACTTTCTTTCTCTCTCTCTCTCATACTTGACTTGGGATGCACTCTTTGAATCCATTCTTTATAAAAGAAATTGTTCTTTGAAAAAATATCTGTGATTTTGGTGTTTAGGGTTCTTCAAAGTTTTTTTCTTTTCATTTTTTTAATTCTTTTTTTGACGTTGTGGATACAATGTTGCTATAATGCATACCACTTTTTCGAGTAAATATTATGGAAAGTGAACGATTTCTTGAATATAATATATAGTTTTAAATCTATATCGTCACTTTCAAAACACGAATAATTCAATAAATAGTTAATTTACTAAATTTTAAGGTATGGTCTTGTTTATTTTGATCTATTTTTTTACTAAATTTTAACTTTTACTGTAATTATTTTTCACCTCGATCATATAGCTACTACGTTGAGAGTCATTCGAATTAGCATAACAGATTGAATTTTAGAATGGTGGGACCAACTTTTTGTGATTATTTCTTTAGGAGTATCAGTGTGGTCGAAGGGGTAGCATTGTAATTCATTCAACTAAATGATCAAGTTAAGGGCAAAAAGGTAATATTCCAAAACCAAGAGACCAACAAAAAATAAAACTCGAAACTCTAAGGTAAAATGTAACATGTTGAAACATAAGGTCTAAAAAAATATTTTTTCCGTGCTTTAACTAATCGAGATATGTATTAAACATTATATATATATATGTATGTATCAAGCATGTGGGCCTATTCGCCCGATGTCGCTGTACATTTATGATTTATAATTAATATATAATATAAAGAAAGAAATGAAGAGATTTTCGACGAGCAAAAACAATGAACGATACCAATCACTTTGATTTTCCTCTCATTGTCAGGAAATCGGACTACAATAGGTTCATAAATGTAACAACAATTAAATTGCCTCATATATATTTTCTAAGTGTCGGCAGCAAAATACAGCCACAAGCACATGCTTTTGTGCCCTCCCCCTATTCTCATATTTACATTAATTATTAGGCCATATGTAGCCTTGATTTAGGGCAAATCCCCTTAATTAATTCCTCATTATTTTTTCAAAACTCAATTATTAATTAAAGAAAAATCGAATATTAGAGGATGTTTCGTTCTTATGATTTCTTAATAAGAATGACAAAATTTTTTGTCGTGTTAAGAGGATTTTTTTTTTATCAGTAGTGTGTTCGGATTGTCTCTTTCTAAGAAATTACATTTGTATTATAATATTTTGAAAAAAAAAATAAAAAAAATAAAGTTTAAAATCAAAGGATTAAACGATACTTTAGTCATTTTAGTATTTGTATTTTTTTAAAAATTTAAAACGTTTATTTTCATAATTTAGAGACTAAAATAAATATTTTAAAACATATAAAAAAAATTAAAAATTAAAAATTGTATTTAAGTGGATCTTACATGTGGTTGAGGTGTCACTTGAAATTTTAGTAATTTTTGGGCGAGTAGGAACGTGTAATCACGCGCCGATTGTCGGCTTGAATTCCACCGATGGCACCGTGGTGGTCACGCACACGAGCACGTGAGTTCCATGAGCGAAATAAAGGAAACGACGACGTATTATTAGTCTGATCATTTATTTTTAGTTCAATTGACTACGTAACTCTTTGTTCTGTACAAAAATTACAAAATTATCCGTTACAATTCCAGTGGGGGCATTAACGTAACTTCGAGACAATAGTACTACACTTACGTGGCAATTTACAGCAAAGTACGTGTGAGTGATCACGTGGCAAGTCGTGCAGGCATGTAAGAAGCCACGTCTGTTCCAAATGGGACCCACCTCCCACGTTCCTTTTCCTTCTGATCCGCTGGAACCGCAGTTTGATCAGTTTGATTGGCCGATTGACTGAGCTCATCGTGGAGCCCGCGCACAGAATCAGCGCCATCCCTTCATCTCCCCGACGCTGGGTTTTTATCCCCTGCAGCAGATTAAATTTGAACTACTCCTACTCTCTATTCTTTTTTTTTTCAGATTAATATAATTTTAGGTAATATTAAGTTGATTTTAAATTAAAAAAGTGAAAATAGTTTCAAATTATTAATAAAACATCGATATTTATTTAAATTGATATTTAATTTTATCACTTTTATAGGTCAATATCAAAACTTTCTAAAATACGATAATTCTTTATCTCGATATTTATTTAATTTTTAACATATTATAATTATTTCGAACAAAAATTAAACTAAAAAAATACATAAATATGACGATGAAATTCATACATTTTATATAAAATTGTCAGTCTTTAATTTCAAGATTTAGATCCATTTTAATTATTTACAAATACTAATTTTAATTTGAATAGTTCTAATCAAATATTTTAATGCTCATTGTTTCTAAAATGTAGACCAATAAGTGATGGCCACGTGCTAAGAGCCCGACAAACACGATGCTGAATCTATGGTTAGAAAGACCCAAATAGTTGTGTCAATTACCGCACAATCGTTCTATTTAAGAACATACGCAAAGTACGTAATTACAAAATTTAGATATTTAAATATATAAAAGAGTTCCTAATGCCTTTACCTTTATTTTATTGTATTTTTAGAAATATTATTATGATTTCCATTTAAAGACGAATTTAATTTGAATAATTTGTATTTTTAAGGATTAAAAAAATTATTCTAAATTACAATACTCATATATATATAACTTTTTTTTAATAAAAATTAAGATTTTAATTTCACTCTATATAGTTTTAAGTAAAGACATATACAAAATTTGACAAGGACATCTGTTCATATCTCTTTGTCTTATTATGATGTCATTTTCACCATATTTATCATTTTAGTTTTATGAGGATCACGGTAAAAATTTCTTACAAGAAATTTGTAGGAATCGAGTTCCTATAAGTAATTGTCTATATATATATATTCTTAAAAATATATATATAATAATAGTTAATTTTAAAAAAAAATTAATTAAAAGTGATAAGAGAGCATAGATGGGCAGAAATAGATACGATGAATATAATTTCATTATTACCTCATTTAATTTATAGAAAAGAATCTCTCCGTAAAAAAAATCATATTATAATTTTTAAAAATATAATTGATTTACTTTTTCTATCTCAAAATAGGATTCTTAAATAAAAAGCATTAATTATTTGGAAAGACATACTTTATTTCTTTAAAGAAAATATCTTTCTCAATCAAGGAATCTCGTACATTTTATATATGACATTTCATCTTTTTAGCTTTTAAATGTCCCTTCAACGTATTAACTTCGCTAATTAATCACATATTTCATTATATAATCTTTTATTTTCTTCAAATAATCAATTAAAAAAAAAACCGTTTTCATAATGCTTTTATTTCGAACGGACAAAAATTAATGCGAAGCCTACAATTCAATTATAGATCCTCCGAGAACACGAGTCATAATCACCGACACATTTTTTTCCGTCGATGATTCTCACTTAAAAAAAAGTCTCGGGATTTTCAATTTATGTCTAAAAGATTTGTAATTTTTTAAAAGTAGTTAATAACTCTCTAAATGGGGTCTATTTAATAAATGAATTTTAATTCTTTTTAATATTATTTTTTTTATTTTAGATTCAAAATTGATACGAATTTTAAAATGGAATATTTATTAAATAGTGGCTAAATAAATAAAGTATTTATGGACATAAATATCTCACACATATTAAATGTTTGCAAATATAAATTATATGAATATATATTTGTTATTTGTCACGCCAATTAGTTTAATAATTTTTCTTGTTGTTAAGACATTTGAAAAGGGGATTGATTCTTATAAGATCCCAATAAATAATTTTCCAAATAATGTCATTTTAAAAACCTTTTTCCCATAAAAGATTTTTAAATTTACAAAAAAAAAATAAACAAAAAACGGGAAACAGGTTGGGAAAGAAACAGATCGAACTGTCGGTACCGACAGCCGATACAACATTAAGACCACCGACGAATTTACCGGGTATACAAGGTAACGCAAGAAAGTTGACCGGTTTGGGTACCTGTTACAGCCGGTTACCATCTTTGGACAAAAAGTTCATGCGTGAGAGTCACAAACGCCGTCGGTGGATTACAACATGGGACTCCACATCCCCACAACTGCTTTGCCGTCACATTCCATTATTATTATTTTTTTAATTAAAAAATCCAATTTTCAAAAAAAGAAATTGTCAAATTTCACATTTACTTTTTTGTTCATTGCCCAATTCAAATACGCAAATTGGAGGAGTTTTCCCTTTGAAAAAAAAAGGGTTTTTTTTTAAATATATATACATAATTTTAGGACGTATTTGCTAATTATCACACCTTTTTATTTATTTACAAATATTTAAATTTTAAGATAAAAAAGAAAAAAAAAATATTTTTTTGAGGGTTAGTCAAAGATTTAATAAATGTCCAATAATGTTCTTTGTGCAAGTCAGTCAAATTTACAGAGAATTACAACTTTACGTAATGATTAGAGTTTTAAAGGTAAGATATTTTGACGTTAATCGATTTAAGCATAAACCGAGTAGTCGAAACAAAATATATACCAACACGGAAATTGTTGAAAATTTGGTTTAGAAAAATGAAGCCAAATTTTGTAATGCCAATTGGGGCATGTGAAAGTAGGAAGTGATAATCGAAAGTGGTACTGTTATTTGGAGTCAAAAGTCAACTAAATTGGAGGTTGCCACGTGGACGATATGTATTGGAGGTGGAGTTATTCGTGATGGTGATATTGAGGAGAATAATATATGTATAACAGTGTGACATTGAGGTAGACTACCATAATATCTGCCGATAACTAGGCCTTGAAACAAGAAAAATTTTCAACTTACTATTATTATTATTATTATTATTAGAGGCGGTTTTATTTTTTATTTTTTTAATTTCAAATGGCTAAAATGGTATATGCTTCAAAATATATATATTTTTTTTCTTAGATTTTAGTTTTAATATCAAATTAATTTGGTGATTTTAATTATTTTATTTTTAAAAACAATTTATTAAATACAAAATTTAAAATTTAAAATTTAAAATTTTTGATATATATATGTACACTGATTGAAACAATAACACGAAGCAATGAATTCTTTGATTGATGTAACGTAGCAATCAAAAGATTTGGATTTTATAAGCGTAATTGAGAATCAACTTTGGAACCTCTGTAATGAATTTATTGCGACCGAATAACTTAAATTTGTGGTTTTAATTGAGAAAACATATGGGTAGGTAAAAGGGGAGGAGAAGACCCAAATTAAAACTTGAAATTGAAGAAGTTGACATAATATGTTTATATTTAATGAAATGAATAAGGTTTCATTCACTTTAAAGCCTCTTATTTGGTTGTATGATGCTTCAATTCTCCTACCTCAAAATCATTAATATTAATATGTAATAATTTAAGACATTTCGATATCATTTGAATATCCAGTAACATTTTCCGGAGAAAATGGGCCGGGTCGGGTACCGATTTTGGGCTAATTGGGCTTCTAAATATGAAGCCCAACAGACCTTTGCAGATGGAAATTTGATTTGATGATAAAAGTGTTAATAAAAAATGTGGGACCCACTTCGTTTTCATTGATATACATGTCTCGATCAACTTCATTTTTATCGGGCTTTCTTATCCTTAGATTATTTGGGCCTGTTGGGCCTGTTGGGCTTGGCCATGAAACCACCGGTAACAAAGTTCATAATTTTCAATTTTATATTTAATATATTGAAAATTTTAAATTTTTTGTTATTATATATTACAATTCATCTATTTAATTTTTTTTTCTTTTTCTTGAAGTGGCATTAACCATTATTTTAAAATGTTTAAAAATAAATTTGACGAAAATTAAAAGTTTAAATATCTATGAATATAAAATTAAAAGTTTAAAAAACATGCGATTATGGAGGATGAAAGTCACACGCAGGCTAATTTAGGAAATGATCATAGATTTATAATCAAAGAATACCCTCTCCATTATAATGAGGTCTTTTGGGGAAGCCCAAAGGAAAGCCACGAGAGCTTATAGTCAAAGTGTACAATATCATATAACATTGTGGAGAGTCGTGTTCATCTAATACCGTTTTAAAAGTTATTTCCCGTTTTTCATGTTTTCCACTTTAATTCGTGTTTTTTTTTCTTAAATTTCTTTAATATTACAAGAAAGTCAGCTTACCGAAAGATATAAAATATATCATAATCACATAAGTATGAGATTTTTAACACAAAATTGAATATTTATTATTACGAGTATAACTCAATTAAAAAAAAAAAAAAAACATATTCATTGTAAACAACAAATTTTGTCACCTTTTTATGGAAATGGGGTCCAATTTTATGATCTCCATGCATACAAAAGTGGGCGTAGACTAATATGCCAATTTCATATTTGATATAAGAGTAAGTAAGTGCTCCCCAAATCCCAACGTAAAATGAAAAACAAATAACTGCAAATTGCCAAACACTGCCTTTTTCGTGTAACTGCAGCAACTGAATTTTCTCCTAGGTTCCTCCTTTGGACTCGGGACCATCGCTCTTCTTCACCCAGAGCCTCAAAACATCCAATCCATTTCAAAAATTACAAGAACTCTTCCTTCGTTTCTTTCCATTTCATCCTCTAATCGTCGCTGTGAATCTCTATGCCTATGACATTGGAGAGTCGAGCTTGAGAAGATACTCTTCTTCCATGGCATCTCTGAAGCTTGGATCTAAATCGGAAGTGTTTCACCGCGATGGCGATTCCTGGTCTGTTTCTTCTTCGTTTACGAATTCCTTTTTCATTCTTATGGATTATGATTACCGTTCGTTGTTCTTTTCTCTGTTTCGATCGAAATGAGTGTTGCTGGTTTTCGTTCGTGGATTTAGTTGATTTCATCTGAAATTCTTGGTGTAATCTTATTGTTCTAGAGTCAATGATATGTGTTGTTAATAAGTTCTCATTATTTAGACATTTTGATTCTCGTTGTAAATGAACTCCCTCTGATTTAGGGTTTGTTCGTCTGGACTTGCAAGTGATATCATTGTTGAAGTTGGAAACACCTCATTTCATCTACATAAGGTGAGCAATTTGATATTATAATCTTCACCTTCATCGGTTTATCGGACTACGAATTCGGTTTCGTACGAACGCTTACTAGTTTTTTTAGGACATTTGAGGTTATTCTGATGAACTCTCCTTTGTGATAGACATGTTCTTTTGCTAAATTGAAAATTTAAGTAATAGTTTCCTACTGCTTGTATTTGCTTCAGTTTCCTCTGCTATCCAGAAGTGGAGTATTAGAACAACTTATTGGGGAATTTTGTGGAGAGGATGATAGAAAATGTGTTATGAAACTTCATGACATTCCTGGTGGAGCCAAAGCCTTTTTACTTGTAGCTAAGTTTTGTTATGGTGTTAAACTTGAGCTCACTGCACTCAATGTAGTCGAGCTGAGGTGCGCGGCGGAGTATCTTCGAATGAACGAGGATTTTGGAAATGGAAATCTTATAATGCAATGCGAGAATTTCTTGAACGAAGTCTTTGGAAACTGGACGGATTCGATTAAAGCTCTTGAAACATGTGAAGGGATTTTGAGTTATGCTGAGGAGCTTCATATTGTGTCAAGATGTATAAATTCTTTGGCAATGAAAGCTTGTTCTGATCCAAGTTTGTTTAGCTGGCCTGTTTCGGGACCTGAACCGATGCGAAGCTCTGAAGGTACAGAGTTTTGGAATGGAATTCATGTATCGTCGAGATCACGAAAAGTACAGGACGATTGGTGGTTTGAAGATGTGTCGTTCCTTAGATTGCCTCTTTACAAAAGATTGATTTTGGAAGTTGGATCAAGAGGCATGAAGCCTGATATCATTGCTGGCTCTCTCATTCATTATGCTAGAAGGCACCTTCCCTTGTTGGGAAGGCAAGCAAGCAACGATGATCGAACGTTTAGCGCACTGGTTTTGAATGTTTCGGCTTCGGCTTCGTCGGAAGTCGATCAAAGGAGACTTCTTGAAGAGATAGTCGAATTACTTCCCCATCAAAAGGGTGTGACACCAACAAAGTTCCTGATTAGGCTTCTAAGAACCTCCACGATTTTACATGCTAGCTTCTCGTGTCGGGAGAATCTCGAAAAACGCATTGGGTCACAGTTAGAACAAGCGGCTCTTGAAGATCTTTTGATACCAAATATGGGGTACTCGGTCGAGACGTTGTATGACATTGACTGTATTCAGCGAATTCTTGATCACTTTATGCTAGTTGATCGAAATGGAAACGATTGCATTTTGACTAGAGTTGAGGATGGGCAATTGATGGGGTCCAATTCAGTTGCTCCATTAACAATGGTGGCTAATCTCATTGATGGATATCTTGCTGAAGTTGCACCAGATGTTAATCTCAAGTTACCAAAGTTTCAGTCACTAGCTGCAGCTATTCCTGATTTCGCTAGGCCACTCGACGATGGGATTTACCGCGCTATCGATATTTACCTCAAGGTATCTTCTACAAGAAAGATTCAAGTTTAAGAGCTTTAGTAAGATGTTCTATAAGATTTGCTTCTGGTTTGCTTTTGACTTCTAATATTGCTTTGTTTGTACATTGTGTCAGGCTCATCACTGGCTAACAGATTCTGAAAGAGAACAAATCTGTAGGCTTATGAACTGCCAGAAGCTGTCATTGGAAGCCAGCACCCATGCAGCCCAAAACGAAAGACTACCACTTCGTGTCGTCGTCCAAGTACTTTTCTTCGAACAACTTCGACTCCGAACGTCGGTAGCCAGTTGGTTATTTCTCTCGGACAATATTGAGAATTCACATAACATCAGTGGGAACATGGCTGCACTTGGTGGTACGAACAATGCAGCACCATATGACAATGCCTGCACGACTGAGAACCACGCTTTCGGTATCGACAACAACATGAAAGAGCGGGTGTCGGAGCTGGAGAAAGAGTGCTTGAGCATGAAGGAAGAGCTGGACAAGCTGGTGAAGACAAAGGGTGGATGGAACATGATCTTGAAGAAGTTGGGTTTAAGAATAAAGTTCAAGAATTCTGAACAGAAACCATCCAAGCTCCTCATAAACTCGAAACCAGATCGCGAAATGTCGTCGACATCTCTGCCTACGAACGAACAAAAAAGAACATCATGACGAGTCGATATAGCTTTGTGTCGTGTGTTTATGGTTGTAATGCTGTATTTGATAGCGAAATCCAAACTCTAATTCACTAACCTTTATTCTTGAAGATCACAAAATGTTTCGAAAGGCCTCCCACATTCATGGAGACTCTATTGAGATTTTCGGGAAAAAAATTGTAATTCTCAGCTTATTCCATCGTAGATTCATCATTTTCCAATTAATTTATAGCAAATTAATAGATGAAAAGTTAATAGTAAAGAACCATTTCAGTTATTTATTTATTTATTATTTACTTTATTTACAAATGATCATGAAATTTATTAAATAAATGTGTTTTGAATGGGTCTAATTAAAATGTATTTTTGTGGATTTAATTAAAATATTTTATTGTCTGATGTAGTTACGTAGGTTTATGTTGACAAAATAAAAATAAAATAAATTATTAAAATGGGCGAAGAAGTTGATAAGACTCATATTTTTAAATATTTAATTATTATCACCTCTTTCGAATTAACGATTAATAATTAAATTTAAAGTTAATTAAAAATAATAATTAAATTAAGACATTATTTAAATAGCCTGAGTCGATGGAATAGTAAATTTCTAACCTGGGCTTATTGGGCCTTATCCAGGGCTATAGAAACCCAATTAAAGTTTAGTCCAATAGATCTAATATGGGCTTATTGGGCCTTATTGGGCCAAGGCCCAAATTAGTTCCAAGCTGTATTTTGTTTCGGCCCGATACGAAGTGGAGTCAGCACCGAGGTCCGAGATGCTTCCCCCTTTCTAACATTTATCTTCCATCTCCCTCTCTCTCTCTCTCTCTCTCTCTCTCTCTCCGTTTGAATTACATTTTTCCGATCGGGCGATTCTTTTTTAGTTCCATCTCTTTCTTGCTGTTCGTCAAGGAGATCAGTTTGGCGTAGCATGGTAAAGATATTCTCTCTTATTCTGTAGTGCTTCGTTTTTGCATTTCCGTTTTGTTTCAGAGGCATAATCTTGCATTCTCGGGCGAAATTTTGTTTGGTGTTTGAAATTGTTGCTTTTATCTTGTTTTCTGTGTATGAGTTATGTTATTGTTTCGGACTTACCTCGTACGCTTGGGGCTCAAACAAAGGATGGAATTAGGTCATTCGAGTTATATATATACTAAAGATGGAGTGAATTTACTTTAGGAACCGAAGGTTGGAGAAGAAGAGGGAATAATTTTGGCAACTGGAGCTGGCTGAAACCGGAGATGTTGAGCCATAACGATCGTAGGGCTTGGGTAAATGTTTTGCTGAGATTGTTTGGGTTTAAGCGTACGAAAAATTCTTAGTTGAAATGGGGCATAGTTACAAGCTTTTGGTCTTTTTTGTGGTTGCTGATGAGGATATGCTTTGAGTATCAAAATTAACCATTATTCCATAAGTTAGAGGTTTTCTCATGGCCGCTCCAGCTTTGGGTATTGCTCTTATCTACCTTGCCCCTAAAAAACTTAAGGATCGCATTGGATTTTGTTTAATATGCCAGGTTATCTTAAGGTCAAAGTGGGGCGTTTTAAGTCTTAAACATTCATCCTCTAGTCTTACGCAGCCTGTGAGAGGGAGAGAAATGCAGCTGTGGGAAAAACACACTTATGCCAAAATTTGAAGGAGAAAAATACAGGGCTGTGCGTCTTGGTGTAGGAGGCTGAAATGCAGGTGTGGGTCTTGCAGTGGGTCTCAATTTCATAGGCTAGAGCAGCATTCATGGCTCTCTGTTCAGCAGCGGTGGAGATTGTGTGTGGGTCATGGTCAGTAGTTTGCACAGGCGGTGTGGTCACAGTACGGTGACTAAATTGACGTGGGTTGCTGTTTTTTTTTGAGATTTCACAGGGGGTATTTGATTGGAGCTCAAATCAGTCAAGGTTTGAGGTATAATCGATTTCTTCTCGAGGAGGTTTGAATGGCTCAGAAGGGTTACAGTCCATTGGGTGTATTGATCCCATCATAACTCTGTATTTGGTGCTTGATGATCTTAATTAAAATCTCATAAGCTTGTTCTTAAAATGGATATTGGCCAAAAAGGTTGAACCACGTATATATCTTGGTGTTCTTATCGATTGCTTTGTTTATTTTTGCTGCCAATTGTATTGTGTTTAGAGCAAACTAGAGTTCAATTTTTTTTTTACCAATGTCAGTTCTCAATCCTCACTACTAGACTGTATACCACTAGTTGAAATCTAGGTAATCCCCGCTCACATTTGTTCGTTGTTATTTGTTGCTTGAAGTCTTCCACCACTTCATTCCTTCATATTAGAGGGCTGTCTCTGCTCGTTGACATCCTTGTTTGGGTTCATTTTGAATCTCTGCGTACATTTTAAATATTACATTCCTACATCAAACATCATAAATTCATATGCAAAGTTCGATTGGACTCGATGTATCAGTATAGTATAAATATTGAACGACAGACATAATATACGTTACGCTAGAAGTAGATGTTAAGTCATACAAATAACAAGTGAAATTTTGTCTTGTTTGGAAATACCTTCTATTCTCTATCACTTGAATATTGCAACCATCAGCATTTTTCTTACGTTCATTCAATTCAGGTTTTAAACAGTTCGCACAATGACCAGCACTGAGGCAGGAATGGGTCAGTCTACAGAACAAAAGAAGAGTGTTTCTGCCAACAATGCAGCTCGGTCGTCTCCATCCATGTTTAGAAGATGGGGTAGAAGACACCCATTTATCAGATATGGACTTCCAATGATCTCTCTCACTGTGCTTGGGGCAGTTGGTCTTGGCCATCTCTTGCAAGGAAGGTTAGTGGTTGCTGGTACTGTTTGAAGTTTATGATTCAAAGTGATGGTGTTGCCTTCTTTAGGAGATCACTTTAATTTTCCTGTTCTGGATTTGTGATGCCTCGATGTATAACCCTGGAAAACCTGTTTTAAAATACATCGGAAAGATTCTGGACTTTGCCTTGGAAGTGGTCATCGAGTCCATGGAATTGAGATTTGAGAACCGATGCGAAAATGCTTCGAGAATGAAAATTCTGTGTGCAGTCGATTAATACCTTTCCTGGTGCTCTATTTCATATCTTGGAAAGTTCTATTTGGAGTAGACTGTTAATTAGCTATCTGCACAGCAACACTATAAATATTATCAAGATCATATTTGTTGTAATGTTTCCATGTTTGCTTTTCCATTTGATATTCAAACGTGTCGAATTTGCATTGTAGTTCAGTAAAGATATTGCAAAGGTGAAAGATGATCAAGAATGGGAGATCACTGAGATGAGAAAAGCCCTGTCAAGAACGGGACCTATTGACGCGTATAAGCCGAAAAATATATCGTTAGAAGAAGAACTGAGGGTATTACTCTTATTCATTGCAACTCATTTGTTATGATGTTCAGATTCATCATCATATACAGCGCCTGATTGTGTTATTGATGTGTTCAGGCTTTACAAGAGAAGGTAGACATCAACAACTATGAATACAAGAGAATTCCAAAGCCCACTGATCGAACATCCTGAAATTTAGCCCTCCAAAAGTTGCATACAACACCAGTTCAGGTATTTTGTATCCTCACTTGTAATTCCTTTTGAAGATTATGACAATAAACATCCTTTTCGAATGAGCAAAATGTTCCCTTTTTTGAGTTTTGTTTCAACCTTTTGGAATTTTTTATGCTCATCTTTTCTCTACATATTGCTGTGACCTCTTTGTTTCAACCTTTTTATGCTTATTTATTTAATTGTTTTTTTGTAAAAAAAATTATTGTTTTTAATTTTAGAAACGATAATAAAATTGTGACTTTGGGGCGTCTACCCTTCACTTCCAAGTTTATGTCTAATAGATCATTAAAATTGAATTTGGTAGTATATTAGATGGCCTAATAGATATAAAATTAAAAGTTTAAGGAGTTATTAAACATAAAATTAATATTTATGTTAGAGTATAATAGACACAAATTTTAAAATTAGGAAACTAAATTTAGCTATATATATATATTAACAAACAATTACATGATTCTGTAAGAGCTTTCATACACGGCTACACTTCACACTCTATACATACAAATTTGTATCACTCAATTCTTAAGCCATTGTCCATATCATTTCTACGTGAATCTTTCCGTTCTTTGAGTTGATTAGATTGTACTTCTCATTTATCCTCCCGTTGTTTACAACATCGTCGAGATTGATTTCCACGTGTCCCAATGATTCCTGTATTAATTTCAATAACGAGTTATTCTGTTATCATATTTAAGCTCAACGATTAAACAACTTCATAAAAATGAATTAACTTACGATGGTTTCATCTCTAATTGACCAATTGAGTTTTAAAATATAACTGTGGCTTGTGTTTATTTGGTTCTTGTATTTGAAAAAGTGTCATTTTTTAGTTTAATATCGTGTGAGTGTATTTGGGACAATACCTTTTGCAGAAAACTGAAGACATTCCGTTTGCTCATAACTTCAATATGGATCTTTTCTCGAATTGGAGGTTCATCCAGCATATATGGGAACTCTTCATTCCATGAGGGGTCGCGAGTTTTCTTGATCATCTACAGAAACAAAATCAATAGAAGAAAATCAACGATAAATAATCACAGATAAATCAAAGAACAGTCAATAGATATCACAAAATTGAAAGATCACCTTCGTTTTCTTCCTCTCTCCTCTGAAGTGTATAACAGCGTAAGGATTATTGTGCTTCTCCCCTTCGACATCTTGAGCTCCCTGGATCGTCACAGATAATACACCTGCTCCACCCGATGTCTGATTCTCTGGCTGACCATTGCTTCTGCCTTCACTCTTCACCTCACTGATTGAGTTTTCAAGATATTTCATGCTTTCTTCTCTGAAAGGAGTAAACATGAGCTCAACTACAAGTTTTCCTCTGGGCTTCTTGTTTTGGTGATCATTGATATTTGTGTTCTTGAGCAAATCAAGCACGAGTTCCTTGGTCTCATAGGGTGTAAGCAGCTTTAGAGGAACTAATTGCATTCCCAATCTATCATGGCCACCAACCTGTCACAATTAGTAGAAGTTATAGTTATATACCCTTAATAGTAAAAATAAATAAATAAATAAATAAAACGTCGAGGATATTTGTTGGTATTTCATCCTGGAAAAGTGGCAGGAAGTACCTTGTCCCAGTCATAGACT